CCGAGCGGGTGAGCAACAAGAAGTCATTTATGATTTACATTTCCCCCTGACGATGAAGAAAAACCGGTGGTGCTACAACAGCACTTACTTTTTCACACTCAGTAACGTAATATTGTAATAGAGCAATTCTGTCCTTATTAACACATCTCAGTCATTACTTGTAGAATTCATTATCAAAAAGATATTTTGGTACATTTTTATGCAAATAAACACGTTTCGTTAACAGTTATGTCCCTTAATACGGGAATGCAAGGATGGGGAAAAGAGCAAGGTTTAACATGCGAGATTTCTCGCATGGGTACGCTACTAGTCATTTATTACAATTTGAATACAACCTAATAATAATGCGCCAACGTAAACCCACAGCAAACAATTCTTAAAAATCAATTAATGTAATCGTATTAGAATTAAAATTTTAAAAAAAATTACTTGTACGATACTACAGAATTACATTAATTATTTCATTTCTCTGGAATAATATCATTTTTTCTAAAGAACATTTGTCTGAAGTAAATGTAATATCTTTAATAATATTAGCGTTTCAAAATAATTGCCTATTTAGAATATCGTTTGCTTATTTAGATGATATAAAAAAGAAGTCAAATGTTTTTACGATTTATGTCTTTTTGTCTCTGTCTATACCTTTGTCTGTCTCTCTGTTTGGCCTTCTGCCTGTCTCTGTCTCATTGCCTCTTTGTATCTTTGTCTCTCTGACTGTCTTTATGTTTGTTTCACTATTAGATAAAGGGCGTTCTTGAGTATCTGTCAGAGTCCGGGCTAGTACGAGTATCTGTGACCCTGGAACCTTTCGATGGATTTCAATCAATCAATCAATCAGAAACAGCTTCATTTGCTTTTGGCCAGTAAATGTAGCTGCACGATCTGCTCACATTTGCCTGTGCTTGTATGATGTTACTGAGAAGTTTGGTTATGATGCCGTCCAGGCCATCAGAGTTATTTACGATAAAAGCATCGTAAAGCATGTGATTGCAATTCGAGATTGGAAAATTTGCAAACGAGACCCTTAGGCCGAGTATTGTAACCAATTGAGTAATGTAATCAGGTGTTACAAGACTACCGTACGTTTCATCGATTTTGTAAACATTTGTTAGAATTAATGTGATATTTCGTTCTACGCCTTCAATTAGTATTCACATTTTTTCTCCCATACATGATGACACTGTTCTCAACAAGGAGAACAATTGAAACATACTTGGTGTACACTTTTAGTTAATATAGTTAATATGAGTTAATATAGTTCTGATTTGGAAATAAGAATAGCAGCTACTGCTTTAGAAACATTGTTCCCCCACAAATCAAGAAAGAAATTTGAGCCTGAGTATTTAATGTTTAAGGATTGGTGTGAAAAAAACGTTCATTCCATATCGGAAAAAGTTTTGATTGCTTAGTTTTTTGGCAAGTATTTGGTCCCATCTATGTTAAATAGTACAATATCACTTAATGATAACATTGATATCAAATGCAAACGTAAGGTTCCGCGGCTCGAGTCTATGTCGTCTTGGTTGTCCGGATGACACGGTCTCCTTGGCTGAGAGGACGACGTTTCACCTGTCGTGTCGCAGATTTCCTCAGGGCAGTGATACCGCTTTCGGTATTATACAGAGGACAGTCAAGAAAACATTGATATCATTATGTTTACTCCATTATTAGCGTTTTAAGGGGGACAAGTGTGGGATACAAGCCAAAGAAGTCCAAAATAATGTCAAAAGAAGAGTGGCAAAGTAAGATATTACTTTACCACCCTAGAGAGGTAAAGAAGCACAATACCATACTAGGGCGGTAAAGTACTTCATTGCGATATTGATTATACGGCATAATGTTTGATTTTACCTAACCAAAGTGCATAAAAGTTCGTAGATCATTTTGTCATAGAAATTATTTTATTACATGGAGATAATATTTCTTATTAATGTTGCTAAAAACTGTTGTAACAAATTAATTCAAAATTCAACTAAGCCTAGAAGAATATTTGGGGAAAAATTCAGGAATGTCAGAACACGAAAACGTGCGAAGATTATACCTCTCCCATATAACATTATACAACGCTTTTTTCTTAAATAAAAAAATCAGTGGATTAACTATTATGATTTGCTTATCAAGAAAATCATCTTGCTCATTAGTCAAAGAGTTTCTCGCATTTTCAAATAGCTAGTAATGCTTTACCGGCAAGTCATGTCACTCAACCCTATACTCATTCTACCTATTCACAGTATTCACATATCTCAGGAGAAGTCTGATGATTCAAATACATGTAGTGAATAAATATTTGAAATTCTGATGATGCAGATAATTCTGAAAGGATTCCTCATACATAAAAGGTCAACTCATCGATTTCGATCCTTATATTTGTCTTACTTTTTCCAGGAACGCATTTCTGAATGCTGCAGTCACACCTTGAGTAAAGTTCTTTATCGCGTTGTTTTTCTCCTCTTCGTATCTAATGATAACAATTTCGTGTCAGTTTGCGCAACTTTTGCAAAAAGATGTATTGTGGAATGATACTTGAACGCTAGAGAACAGAATTCATCCAGCTACATCAATGTTTCCGAGAAAATTATCCACTTGTATTTATTACTATACTTTTATGTTTGTAATTGTCTAAGCCACTAAAATTATTGAGAAATATTTTATTATATTAGTGATGTAGATTTGACATGAAACGAGGATATTGTGGATTAACAACACTCAGTTAACATCTTTTATTGTGAAAAAGAAAAATATCTCATTATGTTCTCATCAAACTACATTGTATTAACATCTATAAAAATATTCTTCGGCGGGAATTTTGTAAAATAGGAGCTCCATTATATAAGAAATACTGGTTCAATTGTGTTCGTTTCTAAAATTCATGAGCAGCTTCGAGGAATATTGGTATATTTGTGAGGCATTTCAATTTGATGAGAAATTATGGAAGTAATATCTATCAACACTTTATTTACAAGCTTAAGTGGATTTGCTTTGTACTTCATTTCTCCCGACTGGCAAGCAATATTTCACTAATCTTTTGGGAATGGCTTCAATTGACATGTTTCGCATTTATAAAGACGAATTGATTTACAGGGAGAGTCGAAATAATTTCCTTGAGAATGTAAATCATATAAATACTCCAATTTGTTTAAAATAAATATTTCTAGCTGTTCAATTCTCACAATTTTTCAGAACTTTGAATAAAAATATATTACATAACTTTTTTGCAAGATGCCAGCGATTTACATAATAAATATGCCATTTTATCTATTGTTGAATAATTATGATTTTCAATATATTATTTTTTTATTAAATAATGTGCTTAAAGTAAAATATTTGAAATATGTGTAAGTGTGTGTTTTACTGTGTGAATTTAAAGGAGTGGAAAATATCTTTCGGAAAACGTGATTTAATGCGGAAATAATAGTAATTTAAACCTATTTCGTAGTGTTGAGAAACGGAAGCAGAAGGTAAAGTTTAAAAAATCCGTTTGAAGATTGATATAGTTTTTAATTTTGTCTCTTCGAAATTCACGGTGTATTTGTTGGAAATAAACCATTTGTATTTTAAAAAATGTGTTTTGGATTGTTTACATTTTATTTGTGTGTTGTAGAAGCATTGCACCAAATGGGACAAGCATATGTTAAGAATGGACAAATTATTGATTTATATAATAACAAGCCGCAGCGAACGTTTCCACCCAGGGTACATATGTGTTATTTATTAGTAATGGAGGGAGATTTATTGGTCTGCAAAGTGTAACGATTTTGCTTGAGTTTTAGAAGGGTTTACCACAATTCTCCAATTTTGTAGCCATTTCACATATTTTTGAATTAGTTATAGTTAAATTATAGTTTGTAAAGTATTTCTAGCAATTATAATGTTTTGTGAGCAGAAGTGTCATCTTCATAAAGGGAAGTGTAGTAAAAGGCGAAAGAAAATACTCTATTGATTTTTTTGTATTAAATAGTTTAATTTACATTATATTGAATATAAAATAATTTACTGAATAGATGACAACAATACAATGTTATTTCATTTATTGAATATAAGATCAGTGTGAGAAATAGAATATAAGTCTCTCAAATTATTTGAATTCCTCTTGCAAATACCACGTTTTCCCGTACGTTTAAGTTTAAAGAAAATGCATGAAAGAGTTATTTTCCGACACTAGTGTTGAGGCCGTCAGTACGAGCCGTTTGTCACTGTTTTAGATCAAATGTATCAGTTTCCACATTCTCTGCATTGCATCAGTTGACATATGATCAGAATCTTGAAGTCATTAAGTGTTCAAGGTCTGCATACAACTCTGTTAAAATTCTCGATATGGTTAAAGCTCTGCTAAAATTCTCGGTTTACCATTACATTTGCAATGGTAATGGCTAATTTCTCTAATATGCGACCTTTAACAAACACTTTCTAGAAATGTTACTAGTCTGTTTTCCATGGCGATGGTGTAAAGGATAGCGTATCGGACTGTTATACCTAAGTTCACGGGTTCAAACCCGATCGAAGGGCGAAAAAATCCTTCGTACGCCTTCTTTCGGAGGGGAAGTAAAGCCGGCTCTCCCATATTAGTAGATTTACTTGCATGTAAAAGATCCTCAAGTCTAATTGACGCCTCTGAGCTAAATTGAAATCGCCTGTTTCGTCGTCCAAAAAATACCTCCTTTCTCCGCTAGTGGGTGAAAGGAGCGTAGCGAAATTTCTGTGGTCAGACGGAAGAGCGGGCGGGTCCGAGTAAAATAAGGCATTACTTTATTTCAATTCAATTACAATACACGGTCATTCAAGTTGACTGTGGAAGTATACTACTACGCCATCCCTTCCCTGTTGTTTCTTTCACAACACTGGAATCAATGCGAATGAATTCGGTCATATCGAAATCCATGCAGACAGTATGTTTAAATGGACTACGATGAGTGTCCATATCCATCCATAGAAGGTTCTCCCGGGAGGCTGTGTTGTCATACACAATAAGCTTTGATCATTTTCATTACATAATGGAGCAGATGGCTCTCAAAGTTTTTGAAATGATGCTGTCGTCCCGTGCATATCAAATGTTGGACTCACGCTGTTTTAATGGATAAACAAAGTGAGTCCTATGGATCTGGATGGACCTCCATTGCACTCTCCAGTGCACTCTCCATTGCACTCTCTATTTCATCAGCAACAAATATCTGGATTTTATTGTTTTATTATGGAAGGTATACCATACTTAGGTGTGGAAAACTACCTTACTCTACCTTACGTACTAATCAAACGCGTGATATCGTTGTTGGCATCAGTAACTGTGTGGAACAAACAACAAAGCAAGGCGAATACACACATTATAGTATTTACTTCAAACTCTCTCTGGAATTAAAAATCTTCAAAGCACTTAATCTCTGGTATTACACTACACTGCATAGGATTTACGCCAAACACTAAGAAACATCGTTTGGAGGGGCTCACGCACTCTTGTTCTATAGGTAAATCTTGAAATTGTGTTGCTGCCCAAAACGATCTACCGTAGGGCCGAGGGATAACTACCAATATAGTGGTGTGAGCTTTCAAAGAAATATTTGAAATTGAGATAAATGTATTGAACAAATCATTAGCACATTTATATCACGTAAGGATCAAGTGAATGTTATGAATGAACAAAAATGTCTGTTTTCTAATATTTAGAACGTTTATTTAAGAAACACTGAAGCTCTCTTTTTATCGCATATTAAGCCCTTCGTGTGTAAATTAGAATTTATGATGTTGGTGTCAGTGGAAAAGACATATCATTGGCTTTGAAACTTTATCTGAATATTTTGTGCTTTTTGTTACAGGTTTTGGAGAAAGTTGTACGAATGCATCAGATTGTAATCCTTTGAACTCCGAGTGCATAAATAACGTATGTGCTTGCAATAGTTCAGATGTTAAAACAGAGACAGGATGTTTGCTACGTGAGTATCAAAACCATGAAAAATATTTTTACAACCAAATTTAATATAACTAAGAGCCATAATTAAAAATATCAGTACATTCATGTTAGAAAACTATTAATATGAAATGCAGCTTTGTAATAGGGAAAAAATAAATTATGGCTTTCAGATCTGAATAGCCAAAACTGTTAAGGCAGGTAAATCTTAACCAACCCCCTTCTTCCGTTCCTAAAAGGCTGCGGGAACGCAGGAACTAGGGGTAAGGGGCTTGCACCAAGAAGGCGTTTTTTCCAGTCTGTGGGTTCGAATCTCGTGAAATGCATAACCATAGTGTATGACCCACACGATGGGGCTCTTTAACCCTCCATGTATTACCTTTCAAATTCCATTCCTTACCTTCAGAACTGGCCGTACGCAGCCAAAAAGGGCATACGGTGAACGTCGACAAACAAAACAAACTGGCTGAGAAAGACCTATCGGTTATCTCTAGCAGGCGAGGGAGGGTTCATCCCAGTAATGCAAAGAGACATTTAAGAAGGGTGACGAGGTAGAGTGCCCAAGTAACCAGCTAAGAACGGGAGATTACCATAACTAGGATGGGAGGGTCGATGAAAGAACCACAAGGGAATAAATCTAACCAAAAATACAAAACAATTTATGGCTTTCACAAGTGTTATTTTCTCAAATTATCTTCAGACAAAGCTACAATGACTTTTTATAAGATCATTTGCCGGATAATTTGAAAAATTCTTATACAGCAGGCCCAAACCTTTGCGAGAAAATATAATAAATGCTTTAAGAATACTTTGAAGTATTAATTATTTTCACAATGTGTATAAATGACACTATTGACAAATTATCGTTCAAACTACGATAATAAATAATCTAAAAGATAATTTCATGCGTACCTGAGATTGTATCGTAAAATTTTAGCCACTAATGGAAATTTGAAATTTTGGAATACTGTTGCTAAAACTTTAAGAATTTGCTGAATCGAACGCGTCGAGGCAGAGAGATTAAAAATCCCTAGCCGCTTTGTGCGCTAAGCATGTTCAAAGTTAGTGATAAGTAGCAATAAAATTGCAGAAATTGCATAAGCAGAAATTAAATTATAAAGGAAATGCCCAGACCTAATTGTCGATACACACGCTGTTGGATTCCGAGAACGCAGTGTGTCTAGACGAATAAAACAATTATTAGAGGATTCAAATTCTTCGTGAGACGAGGCAACAATCGCAAGTAGCTCAAAATTACACTCGTTGAAATATTATTAGAACTACTAAACACAAACATCGGCTGGGGTATTTTATCCCACCCCTCTACAAGTCGAATTTGTGAAGGATAAAACAGTTTTGTGGCAGTGTTTCGTCTTAGCATTTGGTCCCTATCATTCGTTACAACATTTCCTAATCACAATTAATTCACCCATTGCTCCCTTCCCCCAAACTATCATCATAATCATCATCATTATCTTCTTCTTCTTCTTCTCCTTTTTCTTTTTCTTCTTCATAATCACTTACATAAAAAGGGTGAACATTGAACACATCGGGTAACGAGGAGTTCGGGAAAGGAAGAAGCGAAGGTAAAGAAGAGACTGAAGAATGTAAAATGGAAGAAATGGAAGGAAAAAGGCGAGGTAAACAAAGGAGAAGAAGATAACGAATTTAAAGAAAGAGACAAAGAAAAGTAAATTACGTAAAAGGGAATGAGTAGGAGACGTAGAGGTGAAAAAGAAAAAAAAATGATGGAGAATGAATGCAACGTAGTTATTTTGAAAGAATCGCCACAAAACCTTGACATCTGTGCTGTTGATTGGGAAAATAGGCGTTTTTCCCTTTCTTCCCTCAGTTTCCCCTTCAGTAATTTCCCTATTTATAATTTGTTACTAGAATTAAATAAGATTTTTCCAAGGAACGGATTTTGCCATTCTCGCTTTAAGCAGCTCAATAAAAAAATTCGTAACATTTTAACATAATTTTTTTACGGTTATATTTTGTTCATTTATTTATTTGTTCTTTTATAATCTTCTCTTATTTATTTGTGTTGTTTATAATTTATGTGTGTTACTTATTGAGAAACAATATGATTTTAAACTACAAAAACGATTAAAGTCATGTTAATTTAGCGTAGTGTAAACCGAATAAAGCATAAAAGAAAAGCGATTTTAAAAAAATCTTATATAAAAAGCCCTTGATAGGTTGAATTAATTTGGTGTCCATAATTTGCTGATAATAGTTTCATGGCATTTTTAATTTTTTAAAGTGGCAGACTTTACCGCACGTGATACTATGTGGATGCATTTCATTTGCAGCGGTGGGAGCCAGGTGCCGACACCGCCCCTGCGACGCCGATAATTCTGAGTGCCTTGGTGGCATTTGCATCTGCAAACCCGGTTTCATCCAAGCGTACAACAACACATTCTGCTTCAAAAGTAAGTTTGGAGGTCCACTCTACCTAGAGATAGTACGATACTTGATATCAGTAAGAGGAATCATTCTGGCACTGTGCAGCTTCATAAACAGAACAGCACGTTTTAGAAATAAGGCTTGAAACCTCTGGACATCATTTATGTAGCGCCCTGAAATACTACGAAAGGCCGAGGCTTTGTCTGACTCATCAGATTAGGTTGCCTTAATTACAGAGTACCTCATCGTTGTTTTCTGTCTTTTACTCAAAACTTTTAACTTACACACGAAGGCTGTGTTTGTTCATACTTTCACTTTCACATTTTACATTTTCTATTAATTTACACTTTATGTAGTTAAATTCAATGATCAATTCAAGATTCAAATTTCTTCAATTTTACAGCTTTATCCTCGAAACTGAAATATGTATGTTCATGAATCCAGTAATGACACATCTAATGTTCTTTTATATTTGATAATCACGATATATTCTTGAACGATGTTGATAATCTCCATTTCTGAGTTATACGTTAATTATGCACCATATTATTGATTACTAATGCACTATAATTGTATTGCATATCCAGCTCCCAAATACGACGATTTCTGCGAGAAAGACCACGACTGCTTGGCTTTGGGCGAAGGAGGAAGATGTAGCTCTGAACGCTGCCGTTGTAGCTTTACAACTGCAATAGATGATAACATGTGCAAGAAGAAGATAGGTAAGAGTCGTGCATTTTGAATAAACAGATAAACCAAGTTAAATTTTCGAATTCTCAACCATTTCACTACCTAAAAACATTTGAACGTGTTTTGAGGACAGATTCCAATATTCAATAAGTTTTGCCATTTTAACACATTTAAAGCATCAAAACTGATCTGAAATATTACACTGATCCTTTCATTATTTTTCTTAGTGAGATTATCATAAAATGTGATGATGTGTGATATAAACGTATGCGAGTATACAGGAGAATACATTGAAATTCATGTTTTCCCACGACCATCATGAAAATATCACACACTGATAATTTTCTAGTACATAAACGTATTATGTTCTTAATTAACCTCAATGTGAATATGACACTGATTAAAATAAAACATACCAAATTGTCCAATATTGACTTCATCATACCATCGTGTTCATCCAATCCTCACTTTGTACTATACAGATAGGAAAGTAAGTACACATACGGGAATGCTACTTCTCTCTGTCACATTTTAAATGAAACCACCAAATTTTTGATTTATGAACATTTTCAAAAACGCAAGTTTTATCCTCCTACGGATTATTTCTAGTAAACTTTTTGACCATGAAACCTTTATTTGGGGGTCATCAAGTACACTCATAGGTAATGTGAATGGTCATTTCATTTTTGTAAAAGCTTAATAATGTAAATAAATTTTCATATTTAAAATCAAAGCTTTTTACTAAATGTGAATTTCAAAGTTTCTTCGTTATGATTGTCTATGATAATTAGTTACATGAATGAGGGTTCTAAGTGTAATTAAGTACAACCAATTCAGTACTTTGTTACTACCGAGGAGACTATATATATA